CTCTTTTTTGCTCGCTGAAATATGGTAACCCTATTTTCAGCTGGGTGTTCCGGCGAAAACCGGATGCCTGGCAACCCTAGTGGGAAATGAGCAATCTATTGTCCTCAGATTTAAGAAGCTAGACAAGCCTGTCTTGATTACTGAGCTCCTAGAGCTTATCAGCATTTTAAAAGCTATCAAAATGTAATTTAAAGGCTTTTTAGTTTCCGATGGCCTTCATGGCTCAATGCGTAAGAACTCCTTTCTCTTCCTGCTGATGTTGGTAGCCCTAGGAGATTCTCAACAGCAAACTACATGGTAAATTATTTATGGCGATTTAAATTGTGAGCTGTTTGCAGTTAGAACTAAACTAAGAGCATCCACCTCCATTGCTTTTAGAGTTGGAATCAAAAGGAAATATTTCCTGTTTAACTACTTTTTAATTAGTATCTTGCAAAATTTAAGCCTTTTCCATTCAGAGTTGTCCCCTCTTGTAACAGTAGTGCAAAATTAGAATGGTTTCAATTTCTTGGAGTTTTTTCACTGTAAAGTAATTGCTCAAGGAATTTTTGTTATCGGGTAGAGCAATACACTGCTTAATCACACAGGACTCTATTCAACAGAAAACAGGATTTCTGCCTAATCCTGTATAAATAATGTTGATGGTAATCTTGATAGAAGAGCCTTTTTCTCCCTCCGTCAGTTGATCTCTAGACTTTGCTGATCATTCAGTTTGCTTTTTACCCAAACAGAGGGAAATGTCATGAACTGTTTCCCATAATTTTAAAAAAAGGGAAGCAAAATAAAACTATGTGAACTGAATTACTTTTGAATAAAATGAGGTTGAAAGACCTCTGTGAGACATCAATGATGTGTTAAAAATAACATAATGTGCAGCATACTTCATTTTGTGGGATGTCACTCATTTTAATCCCACAGTTACTTATATTCCACACAATGTAGGTGTTCCCTTACTTTCATTGTTGAAAATTGCTTGCATCAGATATAATGAACCAGGTTACTGAGACAATAGAAAGTTAGTTACCCTAAAGGAACAAATCCCAAAGCATTTTAAGTTTCCTGCATGGCTAATTTTTTATGTACCACACTTAGCAGCTTTGTCCCATGTCATATCACATGTTTGGGCCTTGGCAGGTTGTTAGGTATGCTATGTAGTATCTTTAGTATAGGTGGAAGCCACGAAGTAATTATCTTTGAGTTAACCAAGGAAGCTTATATAAAGGTCAGAATGATAGTTGTATGCAGTGTTGTTGTAGCCGTGTCGGTCCCAGGATGTTAGAGAGACAAGATGGGTGAGGTAATATCTTTTATTGTCTCTCTCACCAACAGACGTCCCATCTTGTCTCTAGAATGATACTTAGCAATTTGGGATATCATGACAAAATGATTGTTTTATAGAGAGTTCTGTAAACACTGATACAGTAGCTTTTCTATAGCCATGCCTGCTTCAACGCACCTGATGTCCAATACAAGCCAATTCTGCTTTCTTTTTTCACATGAAGTGCCTTGCTTTTTTATATTCACTTCTCCCTTCCAGTGTTCAGAGTGGTATCCATTGATACACACAAGTATTCTAATGGATTAGATCCCTTCAGTGACCTGACTGAGATCATTCTGAAAATCCCTCATTCTTTGGATCTTGAAATTCACTTTTTTCAAATCTGTAATTTCCAGCCTAGCTGTCTGTGGTCTTCAAGGTGCATTTGTTTCGGTTTCCTTGTTCTGTTTCTGAGATTTAAATAAAAATGCACCCGTCACATTTCTCCCTGGCCGCATGTACAAAATCTTTTGTACAGCAGTAAATAACTGGTCTCAAACGATATATAAAGAGACCCAAATCCTCTTGGTGTGTTTATAGTGACTATCTGGAGAAGGCAGCTGAGTACTCAAGTCAGGGCCAGGGCCAGGGCCAGGGCAGACTGTAAAGATCATATGAAAACCTCATAAAGATCTGTCCTGAAAAAAAAGGTACACCCTACAGGCAAGAAATTATACTTGGATCCCATGATGTAGTTCCTTCACTTCTCCATGGATCTCCAAAGCTCTCCAACCTCTCACAAATGAGTTTCAAAAAGAAGAGTTAAGGAGAATTTAGAAAAATAGGAACTCCCTGTGCCCCCTTAGCTCCTGCAATTCTTCGGAGTCAGTTGCATACGTGCCTATTAGGACCATAAACCCTCTACATTGTACCCTAGATCCCTTTACATTGAACACCCATCCCAATCTTGCTCCCTAAAGAATGTCCTCATTCACATGATTTTTAAGATGCTACTTCCATTTAACAGTTGACAAAAACAATAAAACAGAAGCTTCTTCTCTCTTTCCCCCTAAATTAATGGGTGTCTTGGTGGCTTGGCAATAGTGACCGCTTCCCCCCAACCCCTTTCTGGGAGTAGGGCAGGGCAACTTATCCAACTAGAATTTACTTAATCGCTTAGGGGCCACTCCTTCCCTCAGTGGAAGCCCAAGTAGCGAGATGTGCAACTAGGAAAAGAATCCTCGCCAACAGGCTGCAGAGCACATTTGGGGTGCTCTGTGGCCAGCTGCAGCCTTGGATTTTCATAGTTGAAGATCTATTGGCCCCAAATGACTCCTTTGGTTAGAGCTTGGTTCGAGGCACACTGGAGTGTGCACCCTGGCTTGGGGCTACAGGTATCCTCCACCTGGCTCTTTCTGAAGAAATGGCAGAACTATACCTGTTCTGCTATCACAGGACCCTTTGTCCTTGTGGAGGTGTGGGAAGGGGGGGTAGGATTTACCCTAATCAGTAACTCTTCCGTAATGTCTCATTTTCACAGAAACTTTAATGCTAGAATTGTCTTGCATGACATACTGCTTGTTTTGCTCTGATTTTTGTTTATGGTTTTTTATTAGTTCCTGCTTCAGTTCTCTCTGTGTCTAATTAAAGTTCTGACACTCCATTTTTCTTTACTATCATGTGTGATATAGTGTATTACTACTAGTCATAACATAGGGAGATGGACTGTATATAGCAATAGCAGTGTTGTTCATTTGTATGCTTCAGATGCTGATAGAGTGATCAAAAGTAATATTTTATTCCCCAAGGAAAATAGATTAGACTGTATTGATGGAAAATTGCCCAGGATTCATGAACTCAATATTGACTAATAAACAGGTTGATTCAGGAAATGTGTTTTCATTTTTTTTTCTGACCTAGGCAATTGTTAGGTGGTGTGTTTGTTCAGCATGTCAGAACATTTACTTATGTTCAGACAAATTATAGACTGTCCCTTATTAGGATGGGGCTTTATGTAATTCATTAAATTCCTTCTGCCATCTGAACTGTGGTGATAATCTTCGCAACCAGTGAAGTGCAGTTGGCACAAAAAGGAATCTGACAGGAATGTGAAGAGCAGAAAGACATCTTGTTGCCTCAGGGCAATAAAAATGAACTTCACCATTATTTGTTTTCAGTTATGAAACTATGAACTATGGATTCTTTCCGGCAAGCAGAGGCATGGAAAGTAGTGCCTGCAATGCCCCACTGACTGGCAAGAATTCAGCTTTGGTTAGTCACACCAGTCAGGATGCAAATGAGTCGATTTCTTTGTAAATAGCCTCATTATTATTAATTTTTAAAGGACTCCTGAGCAATTAATGACCCGTTCAACCTTCTGAGAAAATGTTAATGTGATGCTTAGAAAGAAAAGAGGTTGGTTATAACTAACTCCTTCCCATGAATTCAGGATGTTGTTTCATGTATTATTTATACACTCTGTTGGCAGTTTGCCCTGTGTAGATATGGCAGTGATCCATTGAGGAATACAAGAGCCTTTTATCAGTAGGTACCTTTGACTGTCTGGGATAGTACTATTTGTGGATGTTGTCTATCTTAGTATTAGGGCTTCCACAGGAGACTGTAGCTCAACCAGTCGTTTTTGATTGGGTGTGGTAATTATCCTGGATGCCATCATATCCATAGAATTACATCCATAAATTGGCATGCATGCTTTTTACAATCTAACTGATTCAATACAAGGTATATGTCTATTTGCAGGGTATACAGAAACTGCTTTTTATCAGATGTAAATGGGAACGTATGTACTTTCACGCTCCTATACTAGTTGCTATTTTCGATACTTTGTTTTCACTTTGCCAAGGTAAATTAAACTAATGATTAGTATTAACAGTTATCAATCTTTGTTTGTTGTTGGAAGCAATTTTATTAAACAGCTTTGCTTTACTGTTTGTTGTTTACAGTTAAAAAACCTAAGTTTAGAAGAATTGCAAATGAGGTTAACGGCTTTGGACCCTATGATGGAACGAGAAATTGAAGAGCTTCGTCAAAGATACACAGCGAAGAGGCAGCCTATCCTGGATGCAATGGATGCAAAGAAACGAAGACAACAGAATTTCTGAATTTGTCTTACTCTCAAAGATAATGGTAGTAGTCAACATGGACACTTGTTAAATTGTAAATCGGAAGGAATTCTAGAGTTATGAGAGGTGTTTTTAAAACTTTAAATTGTGCTAAAATAACCAAGCAAAGTTGGATCAGTGAAAGAACATGTATATGGTGTTCAGCAAAGACGGTGGAACACAATTAAACTCTTCTGTGCATTTACCACACTTCTATTTTCAAATATTTAATGTAATAGAAGTTTAATCTGTTTAGTGGTAACTGTGTTGTACAATGGGAGAGTGTTTAGGATACCTGGAATATTTTGAAGTGTTTCCTGGTTGTGCAGCACTACAGGGCCTTATGTTGCAATATATTTTTCTCCCATTTAGTAGCATATTTATTATATACTCGTAGGTGATTGTATTTATTTTTATGCCCATTTATTTTTTGAAACTTGGGGGGGAGGAGTTATTAGGATAGTTGTGGTGGAGAGCAGGGCCAGGTTAGTTTAAATTGAATGTGGGAATGTAATAAGAAAGAAACTCACTGCTATATTAAAGCCTTGATTCAGTGCAGCATTTATGCATGTGCTCAAGTTCCATTGACATTGATAAGTTAAGCATGTGCTTAAGTGCTGTCCTGAATCAGGGCCTATGGCTGTAAATGAGTGACACAGTTGCTACACTAGAGAACATTCATATAAGGGCCAATTCTGTCACCCTTACTTACATTGAGTGGTCTCCTACTATAGAAGGAAACAAGTGCCTACTTAGTTTTAATTTTTCTATAGTGCAGGAGAAGCAACAAGTACAGTCACACCTATGGTATATACTTCTAGTTGCTATTGCAATTCTTACATTCTGACCAGTTTCAAACATCATTCTGCACCATAGTTTTGTAATGAAGCAACAGTTACACTTTTTGGCCAGTGTTTTTTACCTGGTTGGTTTGTAGTAGGTTTTTGTTTGTTGTTGTTTTGTATTGTAGACGTGTAGCTATAAGGGACACTAATTTAAAAGCCAAAGAAAATCAATGGAAAACCTGTATTAATCTGTAATAAGCCTCCAAAAGAAGCAAAGCTTTGCAGTATTCCTCATCCTGCATTCATTGAACATTCAAAATTCCCACTGTCTTCTGTAAGAGTTTTGGGTGCATAAGGAATGCAGGACCAGGCTCTTGTTAATATCCGTGTCCATTTTTTGTCTCTGGTTCATGCATGTAAATATATGGTAGGTGAAATATATCACATTGCAATAAATACATGAGTCATTTGTATGAAAATGTGATCCACTTTCTGAACCATCGACTGTGGTCACTATTAATATTACTATTGCCACAATTTTTGCCTTTTGCCTAATTAACATTATTGTGGTATTCGGGTATATCCCTAGAAGTCAGACATAATGATAATTACTTACAAAATGCAGCTATACAGATTTTAATGGTGCCCATGGTTACTGGCATCCTTCTGTTATATGTTTTCTGGAAGTTAGTAAACATCTCGCGTCTCTTGGCATTTACTGTAGTCAGATGTGGACCATTTATATTGAACCATGAGCCTTTGGAAACCATGCATTATTTTTATACAGTCTAACTAAACAAGGAAAAAATAGTTTTAAACTGATCAACATATGTCTGACCCTTCTGGGACCAATTCTTTTTCTGGAGTTGTATATGGCCATTGTTATCATTTTTGTTCTACTTGTATATGTGTAATTCCAAACTGTAAATCATAAATTCAAATACATTTTAACTGTGGCAGTTAGAACAACTGACCTTCGTATATTCATAATTTTTTTTAAATGTGAACTGCCTTTTGAAAAGAAGGAAGGAAATAACCCTTAAGAGAGATCCATAAAACATACAGTAAATCAAGATGCCCCAACATTGTGATTTTATTGCCTCACAGCTAAACAAACAATGAAATGATGCATGGTAAAATCTAATATAGTTTATGAAAATGACAGCGTAGACTTCTGAATATAGACCTGTTATTTCAAATTAATTTCTAATTCTTTGCTTTATCTCTTCTTTAAATTCATTGATGTGTACGTACAAACGCAAAGATATAATATATGAAAAGAATATATGGAAAGCATAGATTCATCAAGAAGGAGAGAGCCTTATTTGCCCTTTCCCAATGTGCCTTATAGGCAATTAACGTCATTATCCAACTATAGCCTCTCTGCATCATTGCTAACTTTCTCTTCCCATATTTTCTCCCATTTGTCCCACCAAAAATATCATATGTTGGTTTTGTATGTGGTAGCATCATCGGATTACACACTGTGTTCAGACTCAGTGCCTTCTGGAAAATTTTCCAATTTAGTGCACACTGTGTGTAATACTTACCGAGAGGGGGCCCAGGTTAAAGGCCACTAGGCAGGCTAGAGCTTTTCTAATGACATCTGAAAGGCATGAGGGCATAAAGCGCATCCCTTCTCTATCTGCAATCTACCTGCAAGCCACACTTTCTCGCCAAATGAAGCAACCCAACTGAATTTTACACATACACAGGAGAAAAGCCAAAAGTCATGGTGAAAATTGGAAATGGAATAAGCCACCTGGGATGGTGAAGTTCATGGCTTCTGAGATATTATAACTTAGATGCAGGAATTTTCTCTGTCCAAACTTGATATCCCCCAACTAATATAAAATTCAATAACTCTGATGCCTGATGCAATGAGTGAAAAGCCTCTTAGACTTCAGGGGGAACTAGATCAGAACCTTAGTTATGTGCAAGAAGTAAAATCTAGAAATAGGTTTTATATTAGAGAGGGGTACTTTTATGTTTTTTTTCTCCTGTTTATTTACTAAATCATAGCATCCATTTTCATGACCACATTTATCTCCACTGAAGAATGAGCATTTTCTGTAAAGGAAATCAGGTAGCACGCTAAATAAGACATTGTAACATCAAGCGTTTCAGAAAATCCAGGAGAACTATTGACACATTAAGATTCAGTAAAATTTTAACCCAGCATTTTCTTTTTTTGCTTCCCATTTTGTATGTTTAAGTTTAGTACGTAAAAATCTCTGAAAAATAATTACTTATCACTAAACATCTGAATAAAAACTTATTTTTCGCTTATGGGTGTGGTGTTGTTCACTCCATCTCAAGCTAAATCATGTTAATGCTAGTTATTGACATTCATTTAGTGTGCTTTAAGTTTCAAATTTCAAAACATTGCTTCCTTTAGTGCAAGGGGCCTGACTTTCAGAATTGCTGAGTACACCAAACTCCAATTGAAGTCAGTGATACTCAGCACCTCTGAAAATAAGGTTTTGAAACCCTATCCAGCTCAAGGTATCCACGCAGGCATGAGAAGCTGGATACTGGTGCAGGAGGTGGATAGTTTATATAGGACATAAATAGTAGATCAACCCAAGTCTCCCCTGTTCGGGAATTAAAGAGGTTCCCTGGGGGTGAAAGTTCACGTAGTTTCTCTCTTGCACTGTAGCTCCATATGCTAGACCTGTCTTGCTGCCTCTTCCCTACAGGGCTGTTGCAGTCTACAGGCATTACTAGATTGCTAGGGCTGGAGTAACCACACTACATGTGATCCCCTCCCTCTCCCCCCAGAAGAAGAAAGGGGCAGATCTTGAGCCAAACTTTGTTGTATCCCACCCCCCAGATACAGGAGGCTGGAGAGGTAATATTGAGAGATGCTACATGTCACAATTTCAGGGAACTGCACCTTTGCTCCCTGCCTCCCTCCTCCATGGTCTGCTCCAGGAATACTCTCTTGAGGCTCAGGCCTTTATCCGTCACCTTTCTCTAGACAGGGACCTGCGTCCCTCAATCTCCTGACCAGGGGTTAGCCTTGCTGCCCCCTTGCAATTGCACTGTGATTATCTCTGTGCTAGCCTGACTAATGTCCAGCCCTACGCTTTTCTTTCTCTCCAGGAGCTGTGACCAATGTAAGCCAGTGCTTATAAGTGACCAAACAGTTCTTCCAGAGCATGGTACATTTATTTAAGGATAAAAACATGCAGAGAAAACAAAACAATAAAAAGATCTAAATGCATATTTAAATGTACCAGAAGTCACTCCTCAGGCTTTGGGGATCCTGGCAGGTTCAAGTCCTTCCAACCCTTCCTGATAGGGTTGCCAACTTTCTAATTCCAAACACCCTTGCCCTCCCCCTTCCCCAAGGCCCTGCCCCACTCACTCCATCCCCCCTTCCTCCATTACTCGCTCTACCCCACCCTCTCTCACGTGCTCATTTTCACCAGGCTGGGGCAGGGAGTTGGGGTACAGGAGTGTGTGAGGGCTCTGGATGGGGGGGCAGGCTCTGGGGTAGGGCTGGGGATGAGAGGTTTGGGATGCCAGAGGGGGCTCCGGGATGGGGGCAAGGGGTGAGGGCTCTGCGGTGGGGCCAGAAATGAGGTGTTCAGGGTACAGCAGGGGAAGGAGGCTGGGGTGTGGGAGGAGGTGAAGGCTGCAGCTGGGGGTGTGGGCTTGGGTGGGGCCAGGGAGGAGGGGTGCGAGTTCCAGGAGGAAGTTTTGGTGGAGGAGGGTGCTCAGGGCTGGGGCAGGGGGTTGGTGTGTGGGAGAGGGTGAGGGGTATGGGCTCCAGGAAATGCTGACCTAAGGTGGCTCCCAGGAAGTGGCGTCATATCCCTCTGGCTCCTAGGTGGAGGAACAGCCAAGGTGCTCTGCACACTGCCCCTGCCCACAAGCACAGCCCCCACCACTCCCATTGGCAGTGATTCCCATCCAATGGGAGCTACAGAGCTGGCACTTGGTGAGGGGACAGCATATGGAGCGCCTGTGGCCGCCCCTCCGTCTAGCAGCTGGACATGCCAGCTGCTTCCTGGGAGCCACATGGAGCAGGGCAGGGAGACTTTTAATGGCCCGGTCAGCAGTGCTCACCAGAGCCGCCAGGGTCCCTTTTTGACCGGGTGTTTTGGTTGAAAATTGGACACCTGGCAACCTTACTTCCAGAGGGTTTGGCCTCTCCTTGGACATAAGATCATGTCCATTTGTTGAAACAAAATGGAGGCCCTTCTGTCAGGTTAAACTCAGCCTTTTGTACCAGAAGCCTTTTCACTGGTCTGTTTGGGTACTTCCCTGCAGCTGCGCGCGCACACACACACACACACACACACACACACACACACACACACACACACACACACACACACACACACACACACACACACACACACACACACTCTCTCTCTCTCTCTCTCTCTCTCTCTCTCTCTCTCTCTCTCCTGGAAGAGCTGTGGTAATCGTCCTTCATGAAATAGGCTACAATCCCTATCCTGCAATGATACACATAATCTTTGTAAAGTTAATACAATGGTTCCCAAAGCTACTGCATGTGGTTGCAGTATCTGTTATGCTACCCATGTGTGTTCAGGGGAGCATCTCTCTTCACCATCACTACTGTGTGGGGACATTCCTCATAATAGAAATGGGGTATTCACTTCCCCCTCTTGTGTGTGGATCTGTTTGGCTTCATGGCCCCTTCTTTTCTCCTGGAATGAAGTTGAAAGCCAGGGAAATAGTCTTTGAACAGCACGAAATTTGTACAATTCCTAAGTGGCTGTGAGTCAGGCAAGCACATATTTTTGGACATCAGAGGATGAGCGGAGTATGACTCTCTCAGCTATTATGTGGGCATCATGAAGGATTAAGTACCCCCACTGGATAAGTAGCAGTTGTAGGCACTCTGGAGAGCCAGAGGGGCTGCTTTCTTAATGTCTTTTTCTGTACTATTTTCTGCAGTTCAATTTCTTAGAAACTGTAACAAAGTACAAAAATCATGTTGTGTTGTGATCTGCATCTTAAAACATATATAATAATATTTATCCAAATTCAGGGTGAGATCATCCTCTTTGATTTTTGCCCTGCAGGGAATGAAAAGAGCAGAAATCCTACTCAGATTGCCATGAAGGGAGCTGAGCCTAACTGGCAGCGTCTCCTGCTCCCTCTCATCTTCGCTGACGTCCCTCTCTGTGAACTGAGCTTGTTTTGTAGCCTGATCCTGAGAGGTGCTGAATATCTCTGCTCCCAGGGAGTTGTGGGTGCTCAGCATGTTGCAAAATCTAGTCCGTGGTGCTCTGCTGGTGCAATGGGAACATGAGTGGGTTGGAGAGGGATGTGCCAGGGAGAGCTGCTCTACTTAACATCCCAAACCTGATTCAAATATTCCATTTCTTTTCATTTTTTTTAAAAATCATTCTTCTTTAAGCATTTGTCTATGTGGCTCCCATGATGAGTGAGGTAGCAGTTCTATTGCTAATTTTTGAATATCAGAGCAAAAAAAGGTTGAGGGGGACGGCAGAAACTCCCGCTATTAGTGCACATTTTAGTTCTTTCATATTTACTCCTCACTTGTCTGCATTTACACAGATACACCCAGAGCAGAAAACACGTTAGTTGGTTCAAACTACCCGTATGTTCAGCTGCATTATACATTGAGCCTGCTAGCATATAAATCTGCTTCATTGTTGATGAAGCAATGTGTAAGTATATGAGATCATCTGTTAGTGACCTTTCCGATGGGACTGATGGTCCTGAGTAGATTATGTATTGTAAAGCCTTCTGTAAAACATTTTATATACAAGCTGGTGAATCAGAGAGTGTGATAAGCTGATTGTTACACTTTCTGCTGCATATACATTTAGTTATAAAAATGATATAATTAAAAGGCGCTGTGTCTAGAACAGGGGTAGGCAACCTATGGCCCGCATAGGCGGCACATGAGCTGATTTTCAGTGGCACTCACACTGCCCAGGTCCTGGCCACCAGTCCGGGGTGGCTTTGCATTTTAATTTAATTTTAAATTAAGCTTCTTAAACATTTTAAAAACCTTATTTACTTTACATACAACAATAGTTTAGTTGTATATTATAGACTTACAGAAAGAGACCTTCTAAAAATGTTAAAATATATTGCTGGCATGTGAAACCTTAAATTAGAGTGAATAAATGAAGACTTGGCCCACCACTTCTGAAAGGTTGCCAACCCCTGGTCTAGAATATGACAAGAAGCCTTTATTTCTTTATATTCTTAATAATTTAGGGCCCAATCCTGCTCCCATGGAAATCAGTGTAAAATTTCCATTGACTGCAATGTACACAGAATTGGATAGGGACGGTAGTGTATGCACTACTGTTAACACAGTATGTCTTAGCTCTTAAAAATAGTTCACAGAATATTTTAGCAGATTGGCAAAGTCCATGTTAATTTTTTAAAATGTAACAGTGAGACAATGTAGGATGTCAACTGAAATATACTGCAGAGTTGGTAGGGGGCTCTGATGATAGAGACCAATCCAGGAATATGAAGTGGTTTAATCAAGGGGTTGGAAAATTGAAATCAGAATAACTTTTTATGTCTGTTTATTTTTAAAAGCATCAGACTAATTTATCATTAAATTGCCATTTTTGCTCACTGAACTGTCTGCTGCTTTTTCTGCACTTTAAAGGTCTAGAGACACTGGATGGGCATTCTGTAATGTCATATGTACTGCTACAAACTAACTATACATAATTTCGCAAACTTTGGGCCTGGGTAGGGTTACCATATTTCAACAATCAAAAAAGAGAACATGGGGTGCTGCCCTAGCCCTGCCCCAGCCCCACCCCCTCAGAATCCCCCTACCTGTCCCCTGACTGCCCTCTCCTGAGACCCCACCCCCTATCTAAGTCTCCCTGCATCCCTGTCCCCTGACTGCTCCAACTGCTCTCTACACCCCCTTCTCCTGACAGCCCCCCCAGAACCCCTGGCCAATCTAACCCCTGTTCCCTGTCCCTTGCCTGACCCCCCCACACCAGGCCGAGGGAGAGCTGCGGGCTCCATGT